AGGATGTAGTTTAGACACAGCCTGAGTCTCGTAGGTAGGCTTTCCATTCCTCAGATCATCCTAGGAGCCCTTTGCACTTTGGCATTTTATACCTTAAAGCAGCAACCTGGAAACCCTTATTCACCACTTTTATATAATCAAAAGTTTTGAACAAAATAGGCCATGTGAAGGATCATTTTAAAAATCTTAAACTGTTGACCATTCTGTTGGATTGCATGTGCTATAATTATGTGTGAGGTTATGACATACTTCTGTATGTATTATTGAAATATGTTTTGAGGCCATTTTGAGGCCAGGTACATGACTCTGGAATTTCTACTACCTGCATCTGATGAAGTGGGTCTTTGCCCACGAAAGCTTATGCTCCAAAAAATCTGTTAGTCTATAAGGTGCCACAGGATGTCTCGTTGTTTATACAGATTCAGACTAACATGGCTACCCCTCTGATACTAAGCCAGGGGTGGAGAACGTAAGGTACTGGGGCTAGATATGGCCCTGGGCTTGCCTGGATGCAGCCCCCTGAAGCTCAGAGTGCCCACCAGCATTGGGAGCCTGCATTGGCTCTCCAGTCTCCAGCCCCCTCCCCACACAAAATCTACTAGGTGTGTGAGGGGAATGTGGGGATCACATCAGTGAAGGTTTTGGTTTTGGGTTTTTTTGCTTCTTATTTGTGTGTGGCTCCCAACCCAAAAAAGGTCCCCCCATCCCCCGCATTAAAAGGAATCCCAGACATCCCAGAAGCCATCTCAGAGAGAACACACACACAAAGGACACTGCTTGACCAAAGGGGGAGATCTCCCCACACATGATAAGCAAAAGATGTTTTCAGAAACCTGAATGAAACTATAAAAGAAAGGATGTATCATCGTAATTTGACATCGCTCCCACCACAATTCAGCACCTGAAAACATTATCTGGAAGACAAAGACTTTGAATTGGGAGAGGGAGGTTCAGGTTGAATGACAGTTCCAGCCTATATATTGAAGATTTGTGACCTGTGATACCATCTATGAGGGTGAAACACTGCTTGGTTCTAATTTGATTTACTTTTTAGAACTAATACTGTAAATTAATTTTTTTCTCTGAGATAACCAACTTTGATCTCTATGCTTGCTACTTATAATTACTTAAAATCTACCTTTCTGTAATTAGTAGTGCTTTCACAGTAAATCCACATTCATGTGAATCAAAAGTAATATTATGGCTCTTCTGTTAAGGGAAATTGTGGAAAGTGTTCTCATTCAATAAACATTCCTTTGTTTCTCTTTTTCTTTAAAGTCTCATGGTTGTTGTTGGCAATACAAGTGAGAAAAGCATCCAAGTGTGCTTCTCTCACTGGGACAAAGTAATTCTCATCAACTACAATAATACATGAGTTACTTATGTGTCAAAGGGAGACTAGACCCTCCCCCCCAAATGGGAATGTTAAAGACATGTTATGCTCATAATTTAAGGTAACTTTAGTTTTAACTGTCAATGTGCATTGCCATTTAAGTGGTATGAAATGTGTTCTCTTTCTGTTCACCACATTAGTTTCTATACTAGTCTTACTAAAGCAGATTATCAATTATTCAGCAGTTTGTTTTCCTTTTTATTGTACTTAGCACATTTGACTCAAAGAGCAGCTAATACTGGACTAAGTCTAAGAAAAAGGTAATGTTTATGTATGGAGGCATCAACATGAAAACGTTAAGCTCTGAATTTTTTTCTCTCGCCTCTGGTTTTGGAAGATTATTTCCAGCCCTTTGACATCAACAAACATATTGCCTTTTTAAAAATTAAAGTCAGTAGATTTAATTCCTCATCTGTACACTTACTAGGTGAAACTTCCTAATGTTGGAGAGATGATGGTGTTGTGGTTTAAGACACTAGATTAGGACGAAGGGGATCCAGATTCAATTCCTAGTCCCACCATAGACACTTGGGCAAACTAAATAATTAGTTTCTGTCTCTCGGCTTCTCCCTGGTAATATGTGAAGAGCATCATCTCCAACGCATATTACAGGATAAATTCATTAGTAAATCTGTTAGTCTTTGAAGTACCACCAGACTCCTTGTTGTTTTTAGTGAGTCTAAGGTATTCATTCAGTGACAGAAGTCATATAAGTCGAAGACATCTGCAATATATTTAATAACCCATTGGTTTTGTCCCAATACAGCTACAAGAACACAAAAAAGGGAAATAAATAAAATGTATTTACAACAATCTCTTCCAGGCTAAAGGCAGTATTGTCTGTTCTGCTTTTGGGTACAGAGGAAATAAAAAGGAACAAAAGACTTGTTCATATGACTGAAAATGTTCTGAAGAGGAGGGAACTGAATGTAAATGGCCTTATTCCCAAGTAATGGAATCAATTTTAGGCCATTGATGTTCTGTAAACCTCGTTTCATGAGGCATAACGGAGCAGTCGACAAAGGCTTTCCTTGTCGACGTATCCACGTCTTGACTCGCGTGCTGTGCCAACGATCAGCTGAGCCGGCACAGTGCAACGGCCATTTTTATTTTAATGAAGCCAGGGATATTTAAATTCCCACTTCATTGACTATGTCAGGTAGCCTATTTTACATGCCCCTGTCGGCAGAGGCATGTAGTCTAGACATACCCCCGAGAGCACTCCATGCTTCAGTTTAGTGCTCTGGAAAATTTTGGACTAACTACTTTGGAAAACTAATCTGGTCAAAACTAGCATTTGCATGGCAAGCCCTAACACTTCTGTTGTGTTCATGTAGTCAACTACTTGTGCCACAACACCTTCTACCTACTCCAGAGAGATAAAACCTTTACTCCAGATCTTATAGAAACTCTGACTGATAACTTGTGGAGTCTCCCTGAATCTGTTTACCCATCCACTGTAGTGTTCTCCTTACACCAGTGTGATCTGGCCCTATGTTTCCACAGTAATCATTTCCCAAGATACATTTTCAAATGTAATGAATCCTCTCTTTGGATTTCAGATTCAAAATTTGAGAAAAAAAAATACAAATTGAACTTCTCTAGTCTAGCACTTTCTGGTCCAGCAACATTCATGGTCTGTCATGATTTTAGTTAGTCAGATGTCCACTTATCAGGAGGTTGGCCAAATTTCTCACAATCCCATAAGGTTTGTTTACAGCCATCCTGGTCCTCACTGTTCTGTGTTGTTATTTAATTCTGATTTACCCCTAAATGTCTTCTAAGTGCCCGGTAAACAGTGAAGTGATGATAATGCTGCTAGACAATACCGACCTCTCGTGATTTGGCAAATTCTCTGATGTGGCACAGGTCAGGTCCCAGGGATGCTGGACTAGAGAAATTCACCTGTATTTAAACACATAGTACTGCACTGTATGCTCCTGTGGCATTGTAAGGGCAATATTTATTCAGATGTAAATACTAGGTGTGTTGGTGATATTATTCGAGGTGTACACATATACAGATGCTGAAAGTAGGAATAAGAGATCCTCCGGAAAAGGGCTTTATTCCGGAGGATCGCGCCAGTCTAGACGCTTTTTTCCAGCTTTTCCCCAAGCCGGAAAAAAAGCGGTGGACATGTTTATTTAAATCCCACGGGGGATATTTAAATCCCCCGCGGATTTCCCTATTCCAAAGTTGGAAATTAGCATGGCTATTTTGGAATAGGGGCCAGTCTAGACGTAGCCTAGGTGTTAGGGAGAAAGCAATTGAGAACCAAGTAGATATGGACAGGAGATTGCTGTGTGCTTGATGTGGAAATGAAGATACTTGACTAAGTCTCACACTAATCATGTGAAGTTTTGCCCCTCCTTTTAATCCTGTTAACTTGACTTTTTTTGACTGTATAAATCAAGGGGTTTGAACCTTGTATGGTGCTCACATTTTCTGGATGCATTTTAGCAGAGCTTTGCTGAATAAACAGAGCGGTCTGACAAATCTGTGAGTCCTGTCTGTCTGTGTGTATATATATATATATATATATATATACACACACACACACGCACACACACAGCACAAGGGATATGTACGGTGCATACATCTACATTCATATAAAATCAGAGATAAAATGTGCTTATTAGAGTATATATCCAGGTATTGCAGGTGTATTGTAATGTTTAGAATGCAGTAAGCTAGGACTCTTTCATACATGCCAGTGTGCACATGCATACACACAGAGTGTGCTGATTTGTTAGATTATAGTGGAATTGACTGAAATGTAATTTATGTTCATAGAAATGGATTTTGTTGTGTGATGTTAATACGTGTATGAAGAATAAACACTAAAATTAAATACAACCTGGTGATTTATAACTTTTGTGTCTAAAGATTGCATGGTATAAGTATGCCTACACTAAATCATTCGGTTTAAATGTCTTTGAAAACACTAGGTTTAAATTATTTTCGAAGGCTATAAAGAGAAAACATAAACAGCCTGAATTGTTTCAAATGTGTGTTCCCTTTAATTAAATAGGAAACATCTGTCATGGGATTTTGAAAGTGGATGTAATCTAGCCACATGATGCCTACATCAGTTTGCATCCAACATCCAATATTTTGAAAGCAAATTCTTCCTTTCTGTAAAGAATTAAATAAGCATGCAGCATGAAGTACTGCCTCTGTCTGAATGGGCAGAAAATCCCTTGTTCGGTCCCAACACTGAAGATCAACCACCAATTCCCACTATTCACAGGGGTACATGAAACATAGAGTTTTAGCTTCTGAACATCTGCAATTGGGCATTTCTTTTTAAAGTGTTTAGTGCACGCCAAACACCTTTCATTTAAGGAAAATGGCAGTCATTCAGATGAACTACACACCAGTCCCCGAAGTCACACGATTGTTATTTCTACAGAGACCTTTAAACACTCTCCACATGCATGCAAACTTCTAAGAGTGCAATTCTCCAGGAAACCTCACACACAGATCAGACCGACACACATCATTGAATAAAGCATCCCATCAACTTGTTGTCAGGAGTGATTTTAGCAATGTGATCCCACACAAAATAATACTCTGGGTTATCTGCTTATTTAGGATTTGAACTTACTAGTAGTATCAAAGGGAATCTGCTTGCATTCAGCAGCTGGCCAAGGACAGTAATACACCGCTCCTCCTTCCTGGATATCCGGCTGCGTAGTATTAGCTTTGGGAGCACCCACCAGGACACTTACCCTGCAAAACATGGGTGCCTGTCACTAGATGGAGAGCACAAGCTAAAGGCAAACTGATGGCAGAGACTTTGTGCTAACATCAGCAGCCACCCCAGAGCAACAGGACTGGCAGAAACCATCAGAGCCCTTGCCCAACAACAGGATGGGGAGATCTCGCTTTCTGGTTTCTTTCATAGACTCACAGGGCTGGAAGAAACCTCAGGAGGTCATGGAGTCTAGCCCCCGGCTCAAAGCAGGACCAACCCCAACTAAATCACCCCAGCCAGGGCTTTGTCAAACAGAGACTTAAAAACCTCTAGGGATGGAGATTCCACCACCCTCCCGCCTCACTTTCCAGGCGATACCTCCAGGCGAGGGTAGGGGGAGTTGTGCGGGGAATCCCGCAAAGGGTCTGGGTTCCAGGAGTACCCCAGCGAGCCTGCCCCGCCCGGGGCGCTGGAGCCGAGCGGGGAGCGCCCCCTGCAGCGCGCGTGGGGCTGATGGAGAACTTCTGTGTCCCCCAGCCCGTCTGGCTCTGGCCGGGAAGCGGAGGCGGGGGGGTGCCCCAG